TTTTAATATTATAAATATGTAATTTTTTTATAATTTTAAATGTATTTACTATTTTGTATAATAGTGTAAATAAGCAAATATATGTATTATGTATAATATGTAAACATATGAAAAACACAAATATTTGATTTTTTTATTATAATTTTAAACGTACCCTATATCAACCATTTTTATCTAGTGTAAATTTGTATTTTTTTAGTTAAAAAGAAATTTAAATGGTGATGGATACTTAACGTTTACAAATATATTTTTTATAAAAATATTTCGTAAAATTTTGGAAAGTAAGGGGCCCTATTATTTGGTTTGGCACCCCGGCCCTAATAACCTTAGTTGCGGCACTGACCATAGATATGTATATAATTTGCATGGGCGGATAGGCCTACCGGGAAACCGGGAATTTCCCGGTGGGCCCCCACTTCGTATTTCGGCAATGGGGCCCTTTTTTTTGGTTAACGAAATTACACATAATATAATACAATTACAATATAAATTTGATATTTTTTGTAAATTAATTTTGATAATTTTTATATTATTATAATCTTATATCTATAAATCTATTACTATTCCGTGGTATTTTACAAAAGATTTCTTATCGCCTATCGGCCTCTCTGCCACCAACTACAATGTCGTTTATCGATTGGCGGCGGGTAGTGGTCACGGTTGTGAGTTGGGACTGTTAAGAGAACGCTACCCATACATTTGTTGTCTCCGTCTTACACACGCACGACATAGCAAATTGTCGCTCACTAGTTTCAATAGTATGCAGTTAGTTTTAATACTAGAGTAAATTGACCTATTATAACATATTTAGATAATAACATTATCTGTGCTTAAGCGTTAGCTTTTATTCGATATTTTAATTTTCAAGCGAGATATGAGCATTTTAAATTTTTGATATTTCACGTACACATATCTTACTTGAAAATGAAAATATTTAAAAATCGCCAACGCTTAAGCACAGATAATATTCTTACCTAATAGTATGATAATAGGTCAATTCACTCTAATTTTAAAACTAACAACACACTATTTAAACTAGCGAATGGAAATTTGGTATGTCGTGCGTGTGTAAGACGGAGACAACAAATACATGGGTAGCATCCTCTTAAGGTGGGTAATAACTCACAAATTTTCTAAAAGTAATCTAAAAGATATTCTCAACAAAATTGATTCTGAAGACATCATTAATAAATTAGGAGCTATAGGAGCCCAGTATTTAGTAAAATGTTATTGATTTAAAATTAAAAAATAAATAAATGATTTTTTTTAAATGTGTTTTGTTGTTTATTGTTTTCTTTTGATATGGTAGCGCTCATATAATTCACCTAATAATGTACTTGCGAGAGAAGTGAGCTTATTTTTTTTTCAAGTGGGCTAGGGGGGCCCTTTTAATAATTTCCCGGTAGGCCAAAAATGGCCTATCCGCCCATGATAATTTGTCTTAAACCTAGACTGACATAGGTACCGTCTTAATCGTTTTTCTTATACAATGATATTATATCATTGAATTCAAATTTAATACCATCCATTATACAGTGACCCACTTGTAACCTACCGTACAGCAGAGCACCTTTTTAAGTTTTAACTACAAAATAATTTGCAAATTCTCTTGACATTTAAAGATTTTGAAGAATTTTATCAATAATTTAACTTAAAATATCATAAAAAATGTAATATAGGTATAAATATAATTATAGCAATAATGATTGTGAGTATGTGTGTGTGAGTGTCGGCTGGAGTTGCATTTGTTATTCGTACAATTAATACAATATTATGCTCACGGCGACGGCCGTGGTGCGAACAATGTGTATACTGTATAGGTAAAATATAGGTAATTGGTAATACTTTTGATTATAATTTATTCTTAGGCCCTTAGCTGAAGAAACCGAAGCTACTAAAAATAAATATAAACAAGATATAATACTATATACCTAACCAATAGAAATATTACTATATATAAATATATTACTAGTTTTACTATAGGTGTCTTATTGTCTCAGATTTTTAGAAAATACCTTAGTGTACAATGTAGATTTTTCAAACATAATACAGTAGATTGTTGTACATGGTTTATGCATTTTAATTTCTCCAATACTATTCCGTATTACATAATACCTACATAACATTTAAAACTGACAATGTCCGTAAACAGCTCAGAAAGAATCAAAATATTATCGACATTTTATCGACATTTTATGGTGTATAGAAAATGAAAATATAAACATTAAGTAAAATGTCCGTGTATCTGCAGTTATTAGTTTTTGGATTACAACAAAATAAAAAAAAAACGCTACGTGAGATATAGTGTGAGTAGGTATCTTGTATCGATCTTGTAAAAATAAGAACTTCAAACATTCATAAAAATCAAATTTGATTTGCTTGTGCATTGTAGACATTTTTTTATCGATAAAGCGAGACACAGTCATGAGGAATCTCTTATTATATTTTCAAATCTTAGATTTAAAAAGGAAATTTTTATCAATTCCCGACTCAAAATAATTTGCACGTTTCTTGATTTTTACGTGTTTTGTCAACATTTGAACACTAAATGCTCATAAAAAAAAATCATGATTATGCATTTTTTATGTTTATTGACAATTATAGAAAGCAAAACTAAATAATTTAAAACCCAAAATGTCCGTAAATAATTGTGTCTATACAATATAATAATAATATGCTCTAATAGATTTATATACCTACGAAAATTATTTTTAAATTACAAAGAAATAACTAAAATCGTTATGCTTGGTTTAATATGTTATTTCGTTCGAATTTAAACGTAATATTTATACAAAAAAAATAACTACCTCGAATAGCGGACAATGTGTGACAGCATATTATCAAGTAGGATAATATACGTTGCCGACACCGCCGATGAGTGGCTAAAAGTGCAACCCAGCCATCTTGGTAGGCAGTGTGTGAAAATAAATCGTGGGCTGAGAGTAAAAAGGTTCTATTTCAAAATATCTAATTTTTCAGAAGAGCATTTTTAAGGTTTGTTGTCAAATACATTTTTATCATTTAGGGATAATTGTTTATAATTGATATCAAAAAATCAAGCATGATTACTATAACAATATAACATGCAAATATAGCATCTCACTATTTTAGTTAATTCTCTAAAAATAAAAACCACAAAAAAACAGTTTGGAGTAAAAAGGTTCTATACAAAGGACTATTTTACTCGCTGAATATTTTTTATTTAATAGATAGAACCCATTTACCCTATAGCACATTACAAAATTTTGATCAGTCAGGCGAACATAGTATTATGATATAATATGATATAATTTTATCTAAAACGTCAATCATTAATATTTTATTAAATCACTTTTTATTTAAACTATTCTGTATAAATGTATAATACTGTGATGTAACATTAAATACATTTAATACCTAATAAGTTCATAAAAATAAAATAAATATAATCAAAATAATAATAATAGAATCAAAATTCAAAACAGTTTTTTTTCAACTTATAAGATACTCAGCTACGTAATTGTATGAATAATTTGTGTATATTATTTTGTATTTTAAAGTTTCTTTATATCTGTGAAACAAATTAGTATTTGTAGTCGAGTTAGAACACAAGTTAATTTGAAGAAAATTATCTATACCATGTTATGTTTTATACTTAACAATATCTATAATTTGCATGTATTATCTATGGATGGGAAACACTTGTTTTGACCACGACACAATAATAATTATCGTATCGACATTCGACATATTGATATGATATTATTATGTTATAAGTAGTGATAGGACTCTTTAACTCTTAATAATGTTTTTGTTATTCAATAAAGGACATTTTTATCCTCAAAAAAAGTTATAGAGTAAAAATGTTCTATCTAATACATTTTAAAATAATGAATATATTAATTTTAAAGACATAGAACTTTTTTGGTATGTGTATCTTAATCATTATTAATTGATGTATTATTAATTATTTTTACTCTGTTTTAAACAATGAACAAAATGTTTAACAAAAATGTCTTAAATTCATTTTTAAACGTCATAACAACCCAGCGTGTAAGTCGTATTTATGTTCATGAAAAATAAACTCTAATTTTACATTTTGTGTAATATTTTTAATTAATTACATCAATAGGTAACTTTTTGTGAAATTGAATTAATAACATTGACACAATTACACAAATTTAGCTTTCCCAGCTTTTGTTATGTGTAACAGTCGTTAACATAACACTAGTAAATAATAATACTAGTAATAATAAGTATAAACACATATTGTACTTTAATAATTAATAATATAAATTTAAATTATTATTAATTATTATAATATGAGTAATAATAAATATATTTATTAGATAATAAATTTATCTTAATTTGAACTGGTAGTATTTTTTAAAAACAAATCAGTTTAATATAAAACATGTTATATTAATGGCTATTATTCAAAAATATAAGATTCGTGTAATTGTATCAATGTTATTATTTCAATTCCACAAAAATTTACATATTGATGTAATTGATTAAAAATATTACACAAAATTTAAAATAAGAGATTCCATTTCATGAATATGATTACACTAAGTGGATGCGACACATACAATTAATAGTTAATTATTAAAATATATTTATGATCTTTCATCTATTCAAAATCGTTATTTATCAAATGCAATCATTGCATTCAAATTGAATACTGTAATACTACTGTCCGAGGATCGAAAGGATGATGGACAAATTTAATTGAATAATAATTCAAGGACATATCTATAGTAATAACCACAATTCACAAAATGCACACAATATATTATTATGTAATATGAACGAGCGACCAAAACATATATTTTACTGTTTTTTTAATCATATTAGGTTAACCACAGTAGTAATCAACACTATAATATAAATTAAACAAACTTAAGAAATATCATTATATAAAGGCGTAAATCATTATTTTTTTTTTTAAATTATAATAAAATTATTTTCATATTTAAACACTCATGACATTAAAATTATTTATACATGTAATATAAATCTTAGGTAGGAGTCTGAATTTGGTTTCGCAGTTCATCACACTCAAATGCATGCTTCTTAAACCAGTCACGTTGCTAAAAGAAGAAAAGAGACATGGATAATACTATAAAATAACAGTATAATTGTTAGTTAACAGATATATTCAAATATTCTTACTCGGCAATCATCGGAACAGTATCTCACCATTTTACATTTACTGCAAGTTATTGTTACAGGAATGTTACAATTTTCTGCTTGGCACTAAAAAAAAATAACAACAAAAACATCTTTTGAATATTAATATTGCTATAATTTTTCTAAACTTTAAAGTGGTAATAAACTAATACTAATTACTATAATTTCCATATCATTATAGCCCCAAATCTTCTAAACCAATATTATGGACCTGATATTCTAAGTACACAAAGTTAAAAAACTCAGAAACTCTTCATTCGAATTTCTATTCAGATACCTCAAAATTTACAAAAAGGACTTTATCTAAACAATTTCTAAAAAAAGGAGATGATTCTCATTTGAACGAAAAAAAAAAAGTTAGTAATAATGAAAATATAATAGCAGTCTCACTTTCCCGATCATTAAAAAAAATATAGCCAACCGAAATATTCAGTAAATGGGGAAGTCATTAATTAGTGGTTAGCTCCAATAATTTGGTTTGTAAGTTAAGCCATCAGTATTTGATACTATAAATATTGATAAAAGAAAAAACCATGTTACTTGTAGGTAACATTTATTTTTCAAAACCACAACATGAAATTAAACAATAAATGAGTGTAGCACTTTAACAGGTTATATAGAAAGCTTAAATATTATAAACTTAAGTTATAACACAAAATTTTAAAAATCATCTATTTACAATCCATTTTTTGTATACATCTGCATCCATCATTTCTCTAAGATCTTTCACCCAGATATTTGACTTGAACTCTTTAGCTGAAGAATTTGAAGATGCAGTTGGTTCTCCACGATCATTTGCCATGGGTTCCTTCTCAGTACTAGTAGAAGATATTTCTTCATTATATATTTTTTTATCTGTATTATCCATATTTTGAATTCCTAAAATGATTTAAAACTATAAACTTAAATAAGTATTTTGATATTAATGTCATTTTATTTTTCATAATATTACTGTATTCAAAAATGTATTATTTGTATTTAATCATAGATTCAATAGATGTTACAAATTATTTGAAAATTGAACAAAAACAAATGCTTTATTGATTAGTTGAAACACTATGATGAAGTGTGTGATTTATCTTTTCTACTATTTAAGAATTAAGATATGGCTTAATCAAAATGTTTATTGTTCACCTTGGCGAAAGCAATCGTCATAATAATACTATATCTATTTTGACTTCTTAAACTATGAAAAAGCATTTCAGACCTAACTGTTGGGGTGACTAAACTATGTCATTTTAAGTGTAAATGATATATGTGTGTGTGTCATAGGTGCAGTTTAGGGGCAATTTGGATAACCCTAAAAAAAAAAATGACATTTCCACTGAATGTTTATATCAGCAATAAATATTCACCATAACAGTTTCGAAATATTGCGAAATATTTTTGAGGTATTTATAGGCATAAGAAAATTTCAAGTATTGTTAGATTTTTTTAAACTATTGTCGATACAACATTTTTCGGTCTGTCAATAGAATTGAAAATGTAGTACAACAAAATACACTTATGAATAACTTTATCCTATGAACTCAACTAAAACTAGCTAATATATATAAATATGGGATAAATATATTATAGTTCCCCTAAAGCATATAATTTCATGTACAAGTATTTATGTCTTCCAACAGTTAGACCACTTAGAAATTGGCTACAATCAATAGATGTTTCTTGTGGGCTAAACTCAAATGTTCTTGATGCTTTAAAATAAAGTTTAAGGGTGTTCCACCAAGTGAAAAGATAATATCAATTATAATGGATGAGATGTCACTAAAAAAAATTGGTTTCCTATAATTCTCAAAATGATCAATTTAGTAGTTATGAAGATTTTGGTATAGAAGATGTGTTTCTTGAGATGGATATTAATCACATCTGTGACCAAGCATTAGTTTATATTATAGTTAAACCTTGGAACAAATACTAGGATATTTTTTTTCTAAAGAACCATGAGCCACCGCTCAGCTGATCGCCCGGAATACACCCAGCTATAATCTACACCGAGCACCTCCGTCGTTCGACATCGTAGCCAGAGTGTGATAAGTCATCATTATTATTCACCTACATAATATAATATGTATATTGCATTACCGTATATGTGTTGTGTAGGTCTGACTTAGAGACGTCTGTGGTCAGCAGCAAGAACGGTGAGCTTTATTCAGGCATGGTGGTCACTATATTACTATAAGCATAATTTTGTACTTCTTTACATCTGCATTTGAATCATTATTAGTTACCGTAGAACGGGGTGAAGTGAACCAGCAGTTATGAAGTGGCCCATTCTCATTTTTTTGAATGTTTATCAGCATAACTTTGACATGGTTTTATCCAAATTAATTTAATCAATTCTACCTCCATAGCAATATGATCACGAATAATTTTTGATACTAATGATAACAATACGTACAAAATATGTCATCAAAATAATTTTGTTACCAAAACTACTTTTTTGTTTTTTTTTTTTTTGGAAGTCTTTAAAAAGTCATTAATATCTCAAAAGTAAGCAACTCAATTGAAATATTTCACTCTTAATAATCTTATCAATAAGTATATGAATTAATTATTTCAATCATAATTGTGAATTTGTTGTTATTTAGTTTTTGGCGAAACAATTTGTAGACAATTTAAAAACATCTGGTGAATCGGACCCCCTCAAAACACCAAGAAGTAACAGGAAAAATTATAATTGTCGCTGTAATTTGAAGTACGCTGAACAAAATTTAACACTGAGAGTTAAATCTTTGAAATTAATTTAAATTTCTTTACGAAAATTATTTCATAACAATTTTATATTTCTAAATTTAGCTTATTGCTTATATTATAAACAGGGAAAAATAATTGTTATGCTCAAAAATAGGTCTAACTATTTGAAAAAAATTAAATTTAGTGGTCCACTTCAAAACTAGAATTGATCAAATTGGTTTTTAATTAAAATCAAATGCCTAGTCCACTTCACCCCACACATGTGGGTAAAGTGGACCACTTTTTAGTACAAAAAAAAAGTATAAAAAACTTAAAAAAATAAAATCATTTAGAGATAGGTAGTTCTATTTATACTTATAGATTATATATTCCAAGTTTCAATCATTTTGATCAAATAGATTCCCTGGACTCTTAAGAAATACACCAAAAACTAGTCCACTTCACTCCGTTCTACGATACTATTATTATATTACCCAAAATTCCTCTTCCTGACATTGCGAGTACACAGTGTCAACTACTATAGAAAAGAACACGACGTGCGCCAAGAGGTATGATGTCTTCAATTTCATTGAATGATATGAAAAGCAAGATACAGCAAGATTTATAGAAATTTTTGATGATTTATTTGATGTCTTAACAGTATAACACACAGTGAGGCAAAAGTATTAAGAAAGCCATTAACTAAAATTTCTGATCATTGGACTTTTTTGAATGAAGCAGAACAGGTATTGGGAAAACTTAAAGTCCACAATAAAACTGATAAATTGCCGCCATGCATAGTAGGTTAGAAAGAAAATATTAATGCTTTGAAAATGTAATTTAACAAATTAAATGAAAAGTAAAAATAGTTTTATTAGAAGTTTTAAAGAAGATTAAAGCAAGACTGTGTAGAAAATGTGTTTGAATAGTAAGGTCAAAAGGAGTTAATAATGTCACACCTGACGCTACAAAATTTCATTCATAGATCCGTATGTGCATGTTCAAAAGTTTATTGGAACCATCCAAAAGTGGAAATTGTGAATCTGAATGTGATGTAGTTCAGTTCTTGAATAAATTCAGTGAGCTAAAAAAAATTAAAATACAGTTAAAAGAAATGGGTGATACAAATGACTATGAATATTATGAAAAGAAGATTTTCTAAACTTACATTTATCTTCAATGAATATACTCATGGAGAATAAGGCTTGTGCGATAGGCTATGTAGCTGGATGAGTAAGTAGTAAACTGATTCATCAAGAACTGTAGATAAGCAAGCTGCCAAAAGTGAGGATAATTCTCAAATCAACCTGGAAAATACACATATAGAAATTAAATTGTATAACAATGACAGTTTATTAATCCACTTAAAACCACATTGGAATTTGCAAAAAAAGTTAAGTGTATATTTAATTTAAATAATATAGACACTTTTATTAAAGAAGAAAACAAGTGTTCGAAAAGAAATTATAAAAATGGTTGATGTTGTTTGAAAACTATTGAATGTATGTGATGCATGTAAAACCGAATTCTTACAAAAACTGTTAAATGTATTAATAAATAGTTTCATAAAAAAATAGTAATAACAAAATTGTATTCAAAATGCATTTTAAAAATTAAAAAAATTGTCCATTTGTAAATCAATATGTATAATTAATATTTTTTTATTTTACCTTTATTGTATTATATTATATCTATTCATTTAACATAATATTATATCATAGATCATAAATATAAAAATATTGTTCATATATATTTTATAATGTTTTTGTACATATGTTTTATTTTATTTTTTTTATTAATTTGTATTTGTACATAATATTATGACTCGTATTATGATCATAATAAACTAACTGCAAAACTTTCAAATATACATATAGTAAGTACCTAAATTTTTTATAGTATTTTAATAATATTTTGTAATAAATATTAATCTTTATGTTATACATTTCTGACTGTGCCTACATATTTTTTAGTTAGTATACTCATTATTTTGTGATAATTATATAATTATTTTTCCACAACTACATATCAATATCATTAAAATTTTTAAAACAAGACCTATAAAACTGTATTAAATTATTGTAAAAACAATGAGCGGTCAATTCCAAGTATTACTCCATGAAACAAACCTTGTTTTAGTAATCCAGATTCTATAATCCATACAACCCGATACAGGTAATGATGCATTGCACGTTTTATTATAAACTATGAATATATTTATAAATTTTAACACTAATAACACTATAATATTGAGTACCTAAAAAATTTTAGGTAGTTGTTTTTTGTTGAATTAATTTACATAATATTATATTATTTTGACCTTTTTTAATAAACTAAACACTTAACAGTTTCTGAATTAACGCCAACAAGTTTTAACCGGCCCGTGGCCCGCATATGTAAATACGATAAAAAAATTATTTCAAAAATGTATTTATATTATATTATATTTATACCTATTTATTTTTATTTAAGTATATTGTAAAGTAAACATATTTATTTACCTATATCATCATAAAATTAAAAATTATATGTGTTAATAAACTTTTGGCCCGCTAAGAGTATTTGATTTTTTTTTGTGGCCCTTGAATAAAAAAGTTTGGAGACCCCTGTTCTAATCTATAGTATTTGCTAAAAGTGACACTGGGGCCCTAGTTGACCTAGTGCGCCACTGATGGTAGATCAAATAGATACTGCTCAAGTAACAAAGACCCGATTTTGTCTTCAATAGTGTTTTATATGACACATGATCCAACAATAAGAAACCAATTTGGATATAGTAGACATTTTTAAGATCCCTTTTATGATTTTGCGTTGAAGCTCGAGACAGTGTTCTATCTTAACATTTATCATCATGTCATAGCAAAGCTAAATATACTTTACATCACATTCAAAATTAATTAATTTTGTTTTGATGAAATTTATCATGTGATTAAATTGTTCAAGAAGTATATAATAGTTATATAGTTATAAGTTTTTCTTACTGTTAGCTGATGACATTTTTAATATTTATTCTGTCAAAAAACTCAATTTGTGTTTGTTTTGTTGATAGTTGGATATGAATAAACTTTACTCCATTCACGTTTAGAAGCGATAACAGGCGGCAACCAGATTTTGTAGGCTTGGATTTTGGTGAGTGTTCAGTAATGCCTGGAAAGGAAAATGGAGTTCAAAAAATAATTTGTGACAAATATT